AATTTTTGTTATTTCAATTTTATTAACAGTAATATCACAACTCACAATTGTTGCCAATAGAATTCTCATCATCATTGCCATCACTATTATTAATATAAGTTATTTTAGTTTTGTTATTATTCCAATCAGAACTACTATTAGCATGGCACTTAGCTTAAGCAGCCGAAAATCCATGCCCATTTATGCTGCTCGGCTTCGATGACTCAACAACTGGGCCGCACAGCTTCCAGATGTGGCCGTATTAAAATGTTATTGGCAACAAAGCGTGGCAATCAGCCTGTTAGTTTAGTTGTCTGTTGCAAGCTATTAATTAATTAATGTACTTGGGACGGGGCACGCGACTTTTATCTGTACCATAATTATGCAGGTATTTGTGAATTTTCTTTTTGGCTCAGGAAATTCATTAAGCTGGGACCCACTGGAGCAGTCGGTGACAAATTTTAGCCGCCCGTTGCGCTACACTGAGCGCCGTGCCACAGACAGAGGAGGAAAGCGAAAGTGCCGCCCAGTGGCCAGGTTGGTTCGCTGCTTGGCTGCTTGGTTGGTTGGCTGGTCAGACTCAGTTGAACGGCTCTGGGAAGAATTTCGACCACAAATCGTGGTGTAATTAGAAAAGGTTCAAAAACAGCGGCCAACCTAAACCTAAATGCGGCAATGACTTTTCTTGGCGCTCTGTGCGTAGTGAAAGGGAAATGCCTATAAAAACCAAAGCCATAAAAATGAGTTGCTACAGTCACTCAAGAGCTTCACAAATCACTAGACTTACTTTCGCACACACTCATATTAGCCGAAAAAAATAAATAAAAGAAATACAGAATTATGCTGTTGCTCAAGACCTTGGAGTATCTGTTGTACTTGGCCTGGTTCTGTTTGCTTTGCAAATATGCAGAGGCGGCAAGCGTGCAGCCCACGGAGCCGAGTGTAAAGTACACGGAGCCAACCCAAAGGAATCCCGCAGTGGGCCTAAACGAGTGCGAGTCGGGCAGCTTCAGCTGGATGTGCCTAAAAATAGAGTTTGTGAAGATTATGGAACGTCTAGCCGAGCAGAAGGAGCTCAATGTGCTGCCGGGCGTGAGCGTGGTCAAGGATGAGAATGCCACAGAGCTGAAAACCTCCGAGCTGATGGCAGGTGAGTGCAGCTTAATTATTCTAAGGGAAGTTGTATATTCACAAATGGCTGCATATTCGCAGAGGTCGCACGCAGCTATCCCAGTGATCCGAATACGCGACTCAATGGCTATATCCTGGCCAAGCTAGAGAACATCTTGAAGACGCGCGTACTGCGCCTTCGCCTGCTGGACGACGCCAGCTTGGAGGAGGGACGCAAGCACAAGTTCGGCAAGAAGGGCGGCATGGAGGCTCTCGTCGCAGCCGGCGTCATGATGAAGGGCATGCTGATGGCTCTGGGTCTCGGAGCCATTGCCATGATGGCCGGCAAGGCACTGATGACAGCTCTCATGGCGCTCACGCTCAGCGGCGTGCTCGGCCTAAAGAGCCTGGCCAGCGGCGGTGGCAAATCCACCACATACGAGATCGTGGCGAAGCCCGTGTACACGTCCAGCCATTCGCATTCGGTTAGCCACGAGGACGGCCACGGGCACAGCGCCCACTTTGCCGGCGTCGGCGCTGGCGGCGGCAGCGGCAGCGGCTATGGCTACGGGGGATACGCGCGCGCTCTGCACCTGCAGCAGCCCAGCCAGCTGCAAATGCTGTAATGCACACACGATATATACTAGTATATAAGTTATTTATTGTATTTATTTAATTATTTATTGCGAATCAACCTGTACTCTTTAAGCAAATATCAATTGAGCAACACGCATACTACGAACTACCCTCACAAACGTACAAAAGCTGTGCAATTTATTTCCGACTGGTTAACAAGCATCATGAAATAATTAAATATCCTTTAAGCCCCAATTGCCCATAACGGAACATTTTGCTTTGGGCTTGTTCTCAGCGAACAGAGTCAGCAAACAGACATATATGTAAAATTATTCGACAATCTGAGTTGAACTGAAATTGGAGTAGGTTAACTAAGTGAAATGTATATGGTTAACTATTTTATTAGATTATATTTCCAATAGGTTATATGTGCATAAGGCTTAGGTAACAAGGCCTTTGTGTCAAAGCGCTGCGACTACTACAATACTCTATACTCCAGTTCAGCAACAGCTAACTCGGAGTTATAAAACTAAACAACAACAACAAATACATATATATAAATATGTATAACACATCATTGTCAAAAGAATTCCAGCAAATCAAACTGTAAAATTATAATAAATTATAATATTATTTTCTATGTAAGTCACTTATATAATTTTCAACCTAGTGCGAAAAACTGTTTAATTAAATTTTGATATTGATTAACAAATTTAAAGCGGCCAAAGAATAAAGGTTTGCGCACGTGTGAAATATAAATTGGCGACTTTTCAAAAGATTTAGTTTCACTTCTAACCCAATTCAGTTTTGTCATAAAAAGCCAGACGAAGCTCCACCTAGGCATCAATTCTTTCAGATCTTTCGCAGCACAATGAAGATCAATTGTAGTGGTAACAATATACAAAAGTTCCCTGATTATATATATCTTACTAATGTTTTCTTCCAGTAATATTCTTGGTGCTTTGCACAGCATGGATGTGCTCAGCAATTAAAGGATCTGCGCCGAAAGCCATTGAAAAGAACGTTAATGGCACAACAGAAGGCGATGACTTGGCATTGGATATGGTTTCAGAAGAAGATGAAGAATCAGATGATGAATCAGATGAATCGCCTTTGACCATCGACGATGTGGAGGAAGAACTAGCAAGGCAACTTGAAATAGCGAATGAAATAGAGCCAGAGACTCCCACCAATAAAACCCCACAGGCGCACATCAGAAACTCCGCCGCTCACGCTCATCATYCCCAACCAGTAGCCGGTCCTATGCCGTACTATGCAGCACCCGCTCCCATGACGTATGCAGCACCCGCTCCCATGACGTATGCAGCACCGGCTCCCATAACGTATGCAGCACCCGCTCCCATGACGTATGCAGCACCG